GTCAGCATCCTCCTGGTAATCGGTGCCTTCCAGGTCAGCAGATCCTCCTGGGGACCAGTCAGCATCCTCCAGGTGATCCCAGGTGTAGACACGGACCTGGCACTTTTAGCACCCAACCGCCTTGAGATCCATCAGCACAGAGGTGACTATGTCAGTTCCCAGCACGTATGTGGAGCTCAGCCACTGCCGCATCTGAAGAGTCTCCCAGCATGGAGAAAAGGCTGGAGTTTGCTTATATGTTAGGACAGTTCCATGTATTGTAACCCTGCAAAGCCACATGAGACTCCCAGAGTCACATTTAACTCTGGCCCATCATTTTCCAGATGCAGAGAAACACCTGCTGTACAGGTCTATCTGTCTGCCCAGTGCCTGCTCCATACAATCCTGGAAATCTGGGGAGCGCTGGAGTGCCCAGCTGGTTGAGGAGCTCCTGCCTAGGGCTGAGCTGTGCTGTCTATAACCTCTCTTTGCTTGGTCTGCCCTTGCAGATGAAGCAGCTGATGTGGCAGTAGATGCAGGGGACCACAGGGTGCAGCTGGTGGGAGAAGAGCAGGTAGGGAGGTTCCCTGTCCCTCCCCAGGGAAGCTCCCAAAGTATAACCTTTGTTTCAGTCCCCACAGCTCTGGAGGAAAAGATGGAGTTTCTGCCATGGTCATCATCTCTGAGCAAGTGACACGGCAGCATCTAGGAGATATGGTCCTCATGCTGCACAGCAGAAGAGATGTGTGTATGGGGAACACGCAGTGGACACTGCTGTGAAAAACTATTTGGCTGCGTGTGTCCCCCAGTGCCACCACACTTCAAGGGAGGCACATGAAACACTAGGAATTCTTGCTTGGACAACAGGGTTGTTTTCAGTGCAAAAAAAGCTGGCAGGGAAGTCTTGGGCTCGGTAAGCTCATCCAAAGTGTTGCTGTTGCTTTGAGGAGAGAGCAGCCATTTCCTGAGAGCATCACGAGCAGCAGTGCTTGGGCACATCTAAGCTGCTGGCTTTTAGCCTCTCAGCATCTCTGCAGCCACATGCTTGGCTTTTCTTGGCCATGAAAAACCAAAGGCATCCTGGAGGCAGGGAATTGGCCAGCCCCAGCAAGCAAAGAAAGGAACAACCCACTTCTGCAGGGAGAAGCCTACAATGGGGCAGTAAGAAGAAATGTCTTGGGCCTCTCCCCTATCCACATTTGTTTGGGTGCCAGCACGTCTGGCCTGGCAGGTGATGTCTCCCCTTCTCTCTTTCAGGAAAGAGTGGATGATGGGCAAGGAATTCGCAGGCTGTGGCAGCTAGTAAGGGAGACAGATGAAGGTGTACGGGGTCTGCAGGGGTCTCCAGTGGGTTGGGTGCTTGGATCCTCTAGCAAGACCCCAGGCAGAGGTATCCCATGTGCAGGTAAGATAAAAGCTATGGCTATGGTGAATGATCAGCACTGGGTTTTTAAAGCATTTGCTTTGGGTTCACTGTGTCCCCAGGGCAGCGTCCTTGCTCCTCCACTCCCAGTGCTCAGACAGTGTGAGATGGAAGTGTCTCCTGAGGGGGGGTGTAATCCCTCTGGAGATGCCCCATACTCTCTCCTGACACTCTGGGACCTGCGCTGGTAACAATTTGTGCTCTGTCTCCTCACGTCAGCTGTGATGCCACTTTAGTGGGGACTGGGTGCACAGGGCACACCTGGGACTTGTTCCCAAACACCGTCCTTGCTCTGCCCATAGGCCTCCCTTTGGAAGCCTTACACACTTGGCCTCCCAGCCATCTTCACAATTCAGCCCTTGCATAATAAGCATCTTTGATTCTTAGGATGGAATTCCGGTGTCCAAACTGCCTGTCCATCCATACATCCATGCATTCTTCCATGTATCCATCCTTTCCTCCCTATGCCAACCAATCCATGCATCCATCTATACATCTGCATCCATGCAGCCTTCCCTCCCTGCTGAACCACTGACTGCGTATGTACCCTTTCCTTTCTCCCTTGCCTTGTGACATATACATGTTTCATGCCCCTGTGGCTTCCATGATTTGCTGGAGCTGCTTTTACTTCTTTCCTTGGCTCAAGATGCGACGAAGAAGGAAGCAGGAGCAGCCATGAGAGGTAAGTTGAGACTGTTTTGCTTCACAGTCCTGTGCAAACCACCTCCTCCCCCACAAAATGCGGGCTGATCCTGGCAGCGAGGCAGGGAGAGGAGGAGGCTAGGCCTGAGGGCCAGCCCAGATATTTGGCAGGGCTGGTGGCAGTCAAGCAGCCCAGGCACTGCTTCACAACTGTCCACAACCAGTGCCCTGCTGCAAATGCTTTTGCCCAGGCTATTGCTTTCCCAAACGAGCCCTGCACACAGCTGGGCGACTGATGCACCCCAGCCCCTGCCTGAGAGATGCTCTGGTTGGGGCCACCCTGTGCTGGATGGAGAGATGGATATGAACCTATCTGCAGCTTGGTGATGGGGACCTTCCCTGGCACGTAGCAGTGACTGTTGGAAATTTTGTACACCCAGCAGGACCCAGGCCGTGTTCTCCGCTTTTCTCCTGCTGGGCTTGGGCTGGACCCTGTCCCATACCAGGGGAGCTGGACACATCCCTTCTCCTCATGGACGCAGCTCAAAGGCTGCTTCAACCTGGCACAGCCTCAGCATCCCCAGGACTGGCTTGTACCAGCTCCCACAGCGATCTTGGCACAACATCCACCCTGGGGAGGGTGGGATATTGAAGCAAGGCAAGTTTGGAAGTGCCTCTGCCTACTCTGGGCAGGGTTTGTCCAGGCAGGGCTCCAGCCTGCAGCAGGAAGCCTCCAGCTCGCTCAGCAGCTGCGCAAGCCACCGAAGAGCCTGAGCCCTAGAGGAAGTGCCCTGGCCCCGCGGTGGGACAGGGAGGTGCCGGCGCTGGGACTGCTCTCATGGTCCCTTCCTGTTTTTCTTCTCCACGGCTTGATGGCAAAGTTGACTTTGGCATCTGGAGCCCTCTCCTTTGTCCCAGATTGCTGCTCACCCCAGCCCTCCCCTCGCATCTTCACTGGTCCAGTGAAAAGCGCCGTTTGCCCATGTCCAGCACCAGGACATCCTCCCCCCGGGGAAGCTGGAAGTGCAGCACCCAGAAAGAAGCACATTTAGTCCCCCCCAAGCATTGAACCTGCTGTTTCCTTGAGGTCCCCAATGCTCGTGTGTCACATTTACAGGCTGCTGGGGCAGGGAGCTGAGCCATGGGGCACCCCAGCTGCAGTGTGGGCAAGGAGGACTTCTCAGTGGCATGCAGACCTCTTGTCTGCTCTTGGTACCTCCAGCTGCCAAAGGGTGGCAGGTCACACCACTAAAGCTTCCATCAGAGAGGAAAGGGGTCACCCTCCAGGGCCAAGGGCAGCAGAGGATGAGAAAGGCATCTCCTGTCCTCAAACTGCCCTGGTCACCAGATCTGGGTGTCCCCACTGCCTGGCCAGGCAAGACTCAGCTTAGGAAGGGGACACAGGGCTTGGCACATGGGGACAGCACAGCTATGAGTCTCCTGTCCCTATCATTTCTCAACTACCCACCTGAGCTTGCCTGCACAATGCAGAACACATTATCTGGTGGATGCATGAGGTTCTGGTGGTCTCTGCTCCTGCCAGCCAGCAGCAACCCCCTTCTATATGGAGCATGCCTGGGATTTCTGGAGTTTATAAGCAGGCAGGATATCGGGGCCAGAGCTGCCAACTCACACTCTCTCCCATTTTCTGGCCATTGCACTCCTGTGTCTCGGGCAGGCGTCAGCCTCTAAACTAGCGCCAGGTGCCAAGAAACCACTGAGCTCAGTTTGCACATGCTGGAGCCACAGCTGCGGGATAGACATCACCCCCATTCAACAGCATCCAATGGATGACCACAGCCCTGATCCCCTCCATAGTGGCAGGGGAGTGGGATCTGATGGTGATAAGAGCAGGTTTTGAAGCGGAAAGGGCTGCCTATGCCATGCTGGAGACCGAAGGGAGACAAGGGTGTTTGTGATACAACAGAAAGGTTGCTGAGTTGGATGTTGAGGAGCAGAGTCCAGCAGGTGATGGCAGCATGATGCAGCTGGAGCCAGCAAGTTCTGGGATGCACGTGGGAGAGGGGATGTGTCTGTTTGGCCCAGAAACCCAGGCAGAATCTGTCGCCTTATGCCTCCCCATCTTGGTGACCTGCTTTACTTGCTCCGTGGAGAGCCCTCCTCCTGTCCAAGGATGGTGCCACCCGAGTAGCACACCGTAGGTGGAGGGCTGAACCCCATCTCCCCCATCCAGGGTGAGTGTGCTCACCACGGGCAGTGAAGGGCTGGCACCCTGCACAGCCAAGCACCAGCACGGGCAGCCCCTATGCTCCCAGGGTGCGAGTGCAGGGGCACCCAGTGAGGGCAGAGGGGTCTGTGGGCACACAAGCCGATGCAAAAAAGCACAGCCCTGCCCTGGTCCCCTCCAACACAGTCCCCATGAGGACCCTTTGGGGAGGTGCTCCTGCTCCAAGCTCCCTTTGCACTCTGGTTTCAAGGGCAGTCCCGGGGCCCAGCCGGGAGTGACACATCTCCCCGGCGGGGTGGGTGCAGGGACCCACCCCGTGCTGGCTCTGCTCCCCGTGCTCCCCACGCTGCCGCTGCCTGAATTTCCACCCAGCCCCATCTGGATCTCATTGGGCTGCTGGCGCTGAGCACCAGGGTCGGGAGGTGCCAACACATGGAAGCCATTAGAGGGGCCGGGTCGAGGTGCGGGGAGGGGGCCACATGCTGAGCGAGAGGGGCTGTGCAGAGGGTCCTGTCCCTGCTGCTGGGCTGGTGAAGGCAGGGGAGATGCCTCAGGCAGCTGCCTGCATCCTTGTCTGGCCTTCAACAAGGGCTGGCCCAGGTGAGGGTTTCCCTCAGCACCCCCAGGTGCCTGAGGAGGGGGCTGACCTGTTTGGGGACCAGCACTGATGTCTGTGCACCCCCTGCAAGGACTGTCCTCAAGCTGGCACCTCACCCGGTGCCACTCACCTCTCCCCCGGCCGAGCATCATTTGCAAGGGGGTCTTGCCTGGGCAGTGCGAACGCTATCCCCTTTATTTTCATCACTGCTCCATCCAGCCACAGCATGGGGGAGAGGGGCAGAGGGATGGAGGGGGTCCCATCTGCCTGCTGGCGGCTGGTGGGGCGTGATGGGAAGGGCTCAGCATCCCCTGATCACCCCTGGGAGCCTGCACCCATGGTTCCCCTCAACACTAGGTAGTGAAGTGGGGCTGGCTCAGCAATCTTATCCCCATGTGTTCAGCAGCGCCCGGTGGTGGGGCTGGCCTGTCACCCCGACTCCGAGGTGCCTCCAGCCAGCTCCTGGTGGGCAAGGACAGCCCAAAGCTCCTGGGAGAAAAGCCTCTCTCCTTAGTGTCCAATCCTGCACCCCCAGGGTACTGGGGGCTCCAGCAGTGTCCACAGCCGTGGGGTGACCCGGGAGGTGTGGGGTCCTTGGGGGCCAGCAGTGGCATCAAGTCCCACACGTGGGCAAGCGGGTGCAGGGACCGGGGATCGGCCAGGGCTCACTACAGGATCTGGGCCTCTGCCAAGAGAGAGGGCAGAGGGTCAGGGTGGGCACTGACCTCCCGTCCCCCCGTACTACCTCCCCCACATTCCCCCTATTACCCTCCCTGCACCCCGACTCACTTGGCAGTGCCTTTAAGTGGGTGGCAGCAACCAAAAAGTTGTGGGGCTTGGTCTTGTCCTTGCCGTGTCTCCTCACCCGGAGCCTGGGGACAGAGCAGCAGTGGCTGAGGGCCCTGAGCAGCCCCCCTGGACACCGGGACTGCCCACATCCCCAGTGATCCTGCTCTGCATCCCCACCCAGATGTGCCCAGCTGTGCGGAGCCACTCCAGTGGGTCAGCTCCAGGACCGCAGCAGGAGCTGGTCATGCGATAGAGCGGGGCTGAGATGGGGACAAGGACCGACAGCAGAGCCACAGCAGAGACAACACAGCCATGGCTGGATGAGAGGGGACCTGGGGACAGGAACAGTGGGCAGTGCGCGGGGGCAGGTGGGAAACGCAGGAGGCAAACGAGGGGTCTCTGATCTGACTCTGCAGCATGAGAGTCCCCAGCAAGGCAGGAGCTTTTGGGGGGATGTTAGTAGTAGCAGTAACTTTGGGGGATACGGAGAAAGGTCCCATGGATGTGGACTCATCAGAAAGACCCCAGGGAGGCTGGGCAGTAGCACAGCTGGTGGGGTGTGCTGGGAAGAGGCACTGATGTGGCAGGGGGGCAAGGGGAGCATAAACCACCTTATGGGGCTGGCATCAAGTCTGTTTGGGCAGGGACCCTAGAGCAGGTCTGGGGGGACACGGGGCACCCCATGCTAAAGGTTCGGGGGCCAGAGTGGGATGAGGACAGCAATCACGCAGACCCCTCCCTCTCAAAACCCAACCTACCAGATGAGGATGATGATGACAAGAACAGCAGCCAGGATGAAGAAGGCAAAGATCCCAAGGGACACCAGGACGGCCATCTTCTCCAGGGGGTCGCTGTGGTCTGGGACAGGGAGACTGTCACGGCCGAGGGATGCCACAGCCCCTGGCACCTGGGGGACCCTACTGCAAGCTCCTGGACACCCCAGCACCCCACGGTCATGGGGTAAGAGACCCTTCCCATTACTCTCAGCCACAGGTTTGCCGAGGCAGGCAGCTGCCTCTGGGCAGTCCCCACTCCTGCCCACCACCCCCAGCTCTACTCACTGATGGGCTCAGGGTTGGAAGCCTGGGAGGGCTCCTCGGCCAGGCTCTCCAGGCTGGCATCTGTAGTGGTTTCTTTACTTGCTGCAGTGGCCAGGTCTGGAAGGACAGAAGGGATAGGAAACGCTCACCCAAAAGCATGGGCAGCACCCCAGGGACACACAGAGAGGAGCAAAGAAGGGTGCCCTTGTGCCCCACGGGTCCCAAGAGTGACCTCAGGCTGCTAGTGGTGCTCTGGGAGCCCCACTACGCCCCGAGGCTGTGGAGGGCATCCCCAAACGGCAGCAGCTCTGCTACCCACCATAAGGCCAGTTTTTGGATGGTGCAGGGGACCAGCTTTTTGGGCCAACTTTAAGGGACCCCAGAAGCTGGGACTGGCTTTGGGTGATATCTGGGGGAATGGGTGCTGCGGGGAAGGGGCTGGAGAGGGGCAGCCCAGGGTGCTGGAGAGGTTTTGGGGCTGGATAGTGCAACCTGGTACTGTTGCTGGGGGCTGCAGCCTATCCCCCTCGCACCTCTGACTGGTGTTGCCCGGGCCTCAGCGCTCCACTCGCTCCAGTTCCCCGCATCCAGGAAATCCTTGGCGCTGACTTGGACGACGTGCTCCAGACCGGCGAAGGCATCCGTGATCACCTCAGACAGGTTCACCGTCTCCACCTGCACCGCGCAGAGGGGAGCTGTGGGGCTGCTGGGGACACCCCTCGCTGCCCTCCCTGGCCCCATCCCCACCCCACTCCCATGCTGGCTTTGCCTCTCCTTGCCCACCACTTACCACGGACCAGGAGCGGTGGATGACAGGCCGGTACTGGAGCCGAAACCTGAGCTGGAAGTGGGGTTCTTTGGGCCAGGAGGAGGGGTACTTCCAGCTCACATGGAGCCGCCGTGGGGCTAGGGGGATGGGCTCCACCACCAAGCCCTCCGGAGGGTCTGGCTTAACTGTGCAGGAGAGGAGAAGGAGCCCTTGTCACACCGGACTGCCATGCAGAGGGGTGTTAGGCTCCCTGCTGCCGCCCAAGGCTGGATGCTGGGGGCACGGACAGACACTGGAACGGAGAGAAGGACAGATGGGGACTCACTGATGGCCTGCATGGTGACATCGAGGAGGCGAAAGCTGGAGCCCAGGGGGTTCACCTCAGTGATGTTCAGGCGGTAGGAGCTCCAGAACTCTGACCCGTGGACAGTGCAGGTGCCGGGGTGGGATGGATCCTGCAGGCACGGCCCCATGTGCCCGTTCTTGTTCCTGCAGATGGGGAGGCAGGGTGGTGACACGTCCCCCCCTGCCCGCCACGCATAGTTTCCCAGTGCTGCCAAGGAGGTGCCATGTGGGGAGACCCCCGTGCCAAGTGCCTGGTGGAGGAGGCAGCCCCCATTATATCTTATCTACCCTCAACCCTCCAGAGCCTAGCACGTCCCCCTAAGCATGACCAAAGGGACCCCCATCCCAGCCCCACATTCCCTCCTGGGAAGGTCCCTTGCTGGCGCAAACCCTCTCCCAAGCCCCCAGGTTTAGTTAGCTTGCTCCTCAATGGGCACCCCCAGCCCTTGGTTTGGGGACCCCATTGAGGACAGTCGCAGAACCTTTGGGACACGGCCCAGTCCCCAGGGAGTAGGACTGGTGTGGGAGTCAGTCCTACCTCCGCTTCTCTTCACCTGTCAGCGATTTCTTCCTGCCATGGAGAGAGATGGAAAAGCTGACAGTGAGGATGAGGGGACAGCATAAAGCCAACCCCACCGTGACCCAGAGGAGGGTCAGGGGTCTCCGCACTGCAGAGCAGCCCCCACGCCCACACTGATGCACACAGGTGACACAGCATGGGGGACAGAGCTATAACTGTGCCCGGCTCTGCCAGCACACAGCCTGGCAGTGGGAGCTGGGGATCCCTGAGGAATGAGATGGCAGAGTGCCCAGGAGGGTCTTCCCCAGAGAACCCCCACTCCCCTGCCCAAGGTTTCATCACCTAGCATCTGCAAAGGTTTGGGGACGCTGACAAAAGCAGCTCCTTGGTAGATGGCTTCTCCCTCCCTCTGTGGGATCCCCCTGATTCCCACCACCTCCTCCCCGCTGAGCCCCTGATGCTCCATGCGGCTCCCTCCCCGACAAGCCCCCAGGCCCCCACTCCTGCAGCTTTCAGCAGGGCTGTGCTTTATGAGCTCCGGCTGACTTCAAAACAGCCCGCTAATTTGGCCTGCCGGGATAATTAGAAGCAGCAATGCTGTCAGGGCTCCTTTCATCCTGAAGCATGCCGAAGTGCTCGGTGGCTTGCAGATGACCTGCTTCTTTTTTATAGCCCCTCTGACGCTGGCAGAGATGTTGCCAGGGAGGGAGCTTGCAGTGCTGGCCCCACAACACTGATGTTGGGCCCCCCGTGGAGCAAGCAAATGCTTGGTGCTCTGCTCACCCCAAAACATGACCTGCTCTGGGATGTAGCATGGTCATTGGGGCAGGAGGTGATGGCCAGGGCATGGGTTGGATGGCCAGCAGGATTTGGTGGTTATCCTTGGCTAGGACCCAGGGCTCACCCTGTAAACCCCACAGCCCATGCTTTGTAGGGATGGATACATCACCTGTAGGTGGTGATGTATCTGGTGGGGAGGAAGGTCTCCACACTGGAGGTCCAGGAGCAGGAGAAATTTTCGTAGTCGGACGCTCTGCAGGACACAAAGGGGACTCCCGGCAGGTCTGAGGTCCAGAGGGAAGCGACAGTCAGAGAGGGGTACCCCATCCTGCAGCCCATCCGGCACGCAGGGACCCCTGTGACACTGCAAAATCGCCTCTTGGCAAGCTCCTGCCAGGGGTGTGGGCACTGCTGGCCCATCCCAGTGGGGCTACCGCACCCCTCGGACCCCAGCCCATGGACACGCTACTCACGCCCCAGCCGCAGGGAGATGGCGTGCAGGAGGCCACCGTCCTCGCTGTGGCAGCTGTAGGTTCCTGCGGTGGCCAAGCTGGCACGTGGCAGCACCAGGGCTCCTTGCTGGATGGCTGAGCCCTCCGGCAGTGCCACGGCACCCGCCCGTCTCCATTGCACTGGAGAGCTGGAGAGGAGAGACCGGGCAGGCAGTGTTAGAGGACAGGGACAGCGGGGTCACCCCAGGCCCATCCTATCAGATAAATCCCCCAGTGTGCATGGAAAAGACCTACCTGGCACGGGTACCGGTGCACGACAGGGTCACATCTGTCCCCACCTGTCCGTACTGCACACCTGGAGGGACACACACATCCCCCAGGTGGGTGTTAGCACCTTGTGCCACCACATGATAGGGCTGGGGGTTGAGGTGGGCAGCCTGGGGCTGTACCCCTCCCTGGGGAGCTGGGCACTGGCTGCCAGGTCTCGTTTCGTGCAGGTGTCACCAGGGGGAACCGGGAAGGACTGGTCCCAGTTGGGGCTGAGCAGCTGCAGTGGGGCACTGGCCAGAGGACACCCATGGCCATGGGGCTGCAGTTCATGTATGCCCTGACTGTGGTAGGTCTGTGCCTGCCTGGGAGGAATAGGGTGCCCCCAGGGTCCCCATGCCTGGGACACGGTAGGGCTGCGCAGGGGGTTTTGGGGGGTGGGGGGTGGGGGGGCTCACCTTCCTCTCCCCAGCCCTCGGGGACGGCGAGGGAGGCTGACGCCAGGGCTGCTGCGAGGAACACCATCACCCTGCCCAGGCCTGGGATGGGACTGCGCATCTGGAGGAGGCAGAGCGGGGAGGGAGAGGGTGTTATCCCCTGCAGTGGGGCGGCCAGCAGGGTCCACAGCCCAGAGCATCCCCGCAGGACCACGGACCCCCCGTCTGCCTTTCGCCTTGCTCCATCCTGCTGGGAACAGCATGGGGACTGTATCACTGGGATCCCAACCAGGACAGCTGGCAGGGTCTGTGCCACTGCCACAGCTTGTCCCTGGCTGATGAGGAGTCCCCGTGTCTAGAAGGGGCACACGAAGGGCAAACACTGACCAGGAGCTCAGGGCTGCGTGGGTTGGCGGGATTAAGGGCTTTTTGCCATTGCAGCCCTGTGCCGGGAGCCCTGGCCGGCTCCCAGCCCTGGGGTGGTCCAGAGACCTGCGCCAGTGCAGCTGGAGCAGGAAGGGAAGAACAAGAAATGCTGGCCTGTATTTAAGTGGCAGGAGGCAGCAGTTAGATCTGAACAGGCTCACACAGTCAGGGGGAGCAGGGCTGTGAGAGTTCACGTGGTACCAAGAGTGGGGCTGGCTGGGGGTCCTGTGTCACTGCCCATCCCTGCACCCACTGCAAGGCTGGTCCATGCAGGTCTACTCCCTTCTGGGCCATCTGGGGTCTCTGGACCCATAGAGAATGGCCCTGAAATCCCTTCCTCCCACTCAGAGATCACCAGTGGGGCTGGAGTGAGATGTGCAGGGGGATTCTCAGGGATATGCACCCAAATCTCCATGGGTCTAACTCAGACACAGATCGGGCAGCCAGCATCACCCTGTCCACCCCAGCCAGCACCACTCTGTCTGTGCCAGCCAGCACCACCTCAGGGCATCTGTCCGGGCCAGCATCACGCCAGCCCTATCAGCAGTGTCACACTGTCCCTATCAGCCAGCCCTGCCTGCCTCCAGCAGGCACAGACAGCTGGATCATATCTCCCCAGAAGACCCCTGTGCCGATCCCTCACAAACAGGCAGACCTCTTTATTCACACCATTATTGTCAGGCTCTGCCCTGGGATGCAGGTGGGCAGGGGCTGAGGGCATGGGAGGCAGTAAGCTCCCTGCCAGCCCCAAGAGCAGGCTGCAGCTTGTGGGTATAAATCCGTGTCCCCCTGCGTCACCCGGGTTCAACAGCCACAGGGCTCCAGGGAGGGATGCTCCGGCCCTGCAAAGGCATCTCAGAGCAGCTGCAGGTTCCTCTCCTGAGGGCAAGTGCCCATGGCTACAGACTAAACCCCGTGGCAAAGAGAACAAGAGCTACAAGGTGACGTGCTACAACCCAGTGAGTGAAGGGGGGGGAAGGCATGCAGCACCCTGCATCAGCCCTGCCTGTCCTGAAAACACCAGGCAGCCTCAAACGCAAGCCCCAAACATAAATAATTTCATGAGACTGTCATAAGCTTTTCCTACTAAGCCACCTGTAGAAATGTTCTGAAGAAGCATCAATTAAAAGGTCTCTGCCAAATCTATGCTGGTAACTAAGTGGGAACATTTGGCCTGAAACTAAAATATTTTGGTGATGGGAAAAAAAAAAAAAATAGAAACAAACCAAAACCAACTTAAAATACACTTAAAAGCAGCAACCAAAAATAACCCCAAGACACCACGTGGGTCAGAGTTAAGGGGATGGTGCTGGGGGGGGGGGGTTCAGTGAGAAGGGAGAAGGTTTCAGTGCGGAGAGAGAGAAATAGTTTTAAAATAAAATTATTTCTTCTCTCAATTGCCCTGTGGTTTTGTGCAAATGCTGCAGAGGGTGAAGGCAGAGCTGCTGCACCCATCGCCCACCATGCCGCTCTGAGGCATGGGGATACGCTCTGGGTGCTGGCTCACTGCTGACATGAGTTTGCTAGGTCTCAGGGCCACTGTCTTGTTCAAGGCCAGTCTGGAAAAATGATCCTGTGGCTGCTATGCTGAAAGGCGTCTTTCCCTGCACGGACAAGGGAAGAGCTGGGGGCATGGCACTATTTGCAGCCAGCTGCTGTTGACGTCCCTGGGGAACGGCATAAACCCTGCCCAGCCAGCCTGGCTGCGGGTGGTACTGCCAACAGACACAGAGGCACCCTCTGCCCCTACGTGGTGGCAGAGGGCATCTCTGCAGACCCCGTCCCCAGCTGCATCCCGACCCCTGATCTCCACAGTGACCCCCCAGTGGTCCCCCACTACTCACCCCGAGGGCCACCTTGCATCCTCCCGCCCTTCAGCACCCTCTGTCCCAGGGTCCCCCCAGTGCTCCCCATCCTCACCCCAGCACCCCATGAGCCCCCCTGCCTCAGAGGGGCTCTTTTGAGCAGCTGCTCACCCCTGCCAGCAGATGATGGGGGAAGGCAGCACCAAAGCCTGCCCCCCCCCCCCCAAACATACACATTGGGTTAGTAAATGACCCGCCTGAGCGCTGCCAAAACCTAGCCACGACCGAGCATCACCACAGAGAGAAGAAACAGGGCAAGCCCTTCCTCGCCTGCCCGAAGGCCACAAACAAAAGGGGAAGGAGCCGCAGAGCGGGGGAAGACCCGGAGCCCTCACCCGCCCGGGGCGCGGCGGCGTGGCAGGGGGCCAGGCGCTCTGGGCCAGGCATTGCTGCAAAACAGCCTGCCCAGAAAGGATCCCCTGACTTTCTGCAACCAAATTCCCTGGCCGAGGGGAAAACAGGCATGCAAACGAACGCACACGCAGGTGTGCTGCCAAGCCACCTCCCTTAGCGGCTCCGCACCCCCCCACGGGTGGGCACGCAGGCAGAGAAAGCATCCCTCTATGCTCGCACCAGTGGTGACACATCCCAGGGACAGGGAGTCCCGGCACAGTGATCCTGGAGCTGAGCCGGGACAGAGGGAACAATCGGAGCTTTTCTTCCTCTCTGCATGCTAATCCTGGCTCAAGAGGCGTCTGCTGCCCGCCTGAGGCTGGATGACCTCCCATGGCCACGGTCAGGGCAGAGGGACCAAACCCAGCCTGGGGCTGTGGCCTGGCCCCAGCAGGGAGGGCAGCAGTGCTGGACTCTGATCCCTCAGCATGGGATGCTCTCACCACCAGCACGGCCAGGGTGACCAAGATCTGCACGGCACCCATGGAGGTGAGCCAGCAACGAAAGGTGCCACTCTGCATCCTGCACTGACCCTGCTATCCCACTGCGCATCATTTGAGATCATCCAAAAGTTTTTCAGAAGCTGCGGGGAGAAAGCCTGCTGCGAGTCCCTTCCTACATCCAAACTGAAATGCTGTGAGCCAAAACATCCCCGAAAATCACAGCCATGTGCACTGGCACTGATGCCCATGCGGGGTGTAACCGTCCCCCTGGCCGTGGCCTGGCAAAGCCCAGCGCAGATTCCTGGGGGAGGCCAACTTTCCATTGCGCTCGGTGCTTTGAAAGACAGTGGATTTTGTTTTTGGTTTTGGTTTTTTTTTTTTTTTTTGCTTTGCTTCATTTGAAGTTGCTCTTCAAAGAAAATGAGCTGCACGCAGAGCTGGGGGTGGTGGGGCAGGGGGACAAAAGCAGGTGATGCCATGTCACAGGGCTGAAGATGGCAGAGGGGAGTCATGGGATGCTACCCATCAAGCACAGAAAGCCTCCTAACTCCTCCCCAGCATGGCCTGGGGCAGCATTGCTGCAATAGAGATGTGCCAAATAAAACAACCCAAGGGCACTTGTCAGCTCTGCCTGCCCCATGGTGGGCCCTGATGGAGTCACCCACCTGCAAAAAGCTGCTCTGCAACAGGCGATGCCCGACACTGGTCGGCTCCAGCACCTCAGAGATGGCATCACACTGCACTCCTGCCCCTGAGCTGGGGGAGCATCACTGGACCTGCACCCCAAGCCCTCCTCTCTGCCAGTGCCCGCTCTGGGAAACATGTCCCGTAGCCTGAGTCCATCCCCCTGGCCCAGAAATCCGGCAGCATCCCAGCCCTGAAGCATCGGTAACCTCCACCACCACTGCATCAATGTGTACCTTTGGGGTGGAGGGGGGACCAGCTACCCCTGTCCCCTAAATGCTGCTGTCACCCTTCCAGCCGCCGGGTGCCCTGTGAAAGCCCAGCTATGGGTGCTGGCAGGGAGGGAGGCATGTCCTCCACATCCAGGGCCACTGGGGCCACGCACCGTCCCCAGGACCACTGGCAGCACCCAGGGGCAACTCCTTGCCCACCTTGGGCACTGCTGGGCTGATGCTCCCCAAGGCCAAGGGGTGAACTCTGCTCGCTGTCCCCACCCCCTCTGGTGCCTTGGGGACCTCAAAAAGGGCTGCCTTCCTCTGCACCACTTCGGTGGGGTGCTGAGCACCCATGGGCCCCCATGCCTGCTGCTGGGGACACCATCTGAGCCAGCACACACACGTGCACAACTGCAGCCAGTGCAACCCCAGACAGTTTAATCCCAGTTAAACCATTTGCGGCTTTTTCCTGTGAGGCGGGTGCAGTCGAATAAACCCCTCACGCAGCCTGAATGTGGGGCTAAACCCAGTACAGCCCCATTGCTGGGTTTAACTCAGAGCAGCCCAAACATGGGATTATACCCCATGCAACCCAGGAGCAGGATTAAATCCCACTCAACCCAGGAGTGGGATTAAACCCAGTTTAGCCCAAAAGTGGGATTAAATCCAGTGCTGTCCAAACGCATGGCTAAATCCAGCTCAGCCTAGGAGTGGGGTTAAACCCAGCTCAGCCAAAATGTGGGTTTAGACCCAGCACAGCACAAGCACTGGGCTATGCAGCCCAGATGTGGGGTTAAACTCAGCACAGTTCAGGAGTGAGGTTAATCCCACTTCAGCCTAAACATGGGTTTAAACTCTATCTCAGCCTAAGTATGGGGTTAACACCAGCACAGTCCAAATGTGGGGCTAAACCCAATGCAGTCTGGAAGTGGGGTTAACCCAGCTCAACCCAAACACCGGATTAATCCCAGCACCACCCAGGGAACCAGTTCATCTCCACAGCCAGGTACAATGCACATCTTCATCCAAACCAGACCATCCCCTGGTGATGCCCAGCTGACCGCAGCCCCACTGGTGTCCAAAGCCAAGCCCAAC